TTGTTTGAGGATTGGGCTCAAGCACTAGATTTTGATCAATTGGGCTAATTTTGAAAGCCCAATTTTACAAACAACTGAACTCAAGCTAGCATTAGATTTTGTAATTTTTTATTTTCTAGCCAGATATCAAAATGAGTAGGCAAATCTTCCATTTTTCTTTCTATTCGATTACAAAATGAAAATGACATGGAAGGAAGAAATTTGTGCATCTCGAACCCTTCATATATATATATATATATAGACATATATATATTCTTTTACAATGTGAAATCAAATTTTTGTAAAATGATCATGAAGTACTAGAGATTTCAACTAGAAAACTATCTAAGTTTTATGAAATGCAGAGTATATGTAAACGTAAATAAATATATATTATAAAAAAAAAAAATAAAGCGAAGGAAAAAAACAAGCATCCAATTATTTGAATGTTACAAACTCCATTCCAAACAATAGAAAAACGGACATTGCACATTAGAAAAAGAAACTTAAAAACACAGATAAAAAGAAAAATCCCCTCAGTGATGGAGAATTTACGAAGAAACAAGTAACGCTTCGCCAAACCTTTGCCATGCTGGGGGCTGAGCACAATGCAAGTGGCGACTGAACTTACAATATGATTCTGAACATTTGAGAAACACATTTTTACAATGCTTGCCGCACCTGTTGCATTCAAAGTAGTCAAAATCTTCCTTCACAAAGGTGAGTGGGTGTGGATGCAAATCATATGTGAAAGTCAATCCAAGCTTGACATATGGGGATCTCCCCAGAACACAAGAGTGATGCACAGAATACTCGCAAATTTTACAGTGATAAAACCATTGATTTGGGTTTCTTGGTTTCTCACATATCTCACAAAAACATTGATCCATAACATGATCATCATGATAAGTGAGTGCAAGAGGATGTTTATCATACTTGCACCAGGGGTAAGCGGCAGCACAGTACATGTTTTACACAAGAAAAAGTTGCATTCCTTGCATCTATTAAAGAAAGCATGTTTTTTACTTCCACAGCTATTGCATTCCTCATATTGTCTCTTGCCATAAACAAGACGATGCTGGTGTCCTTGATTAGTGAAGTTGTCAGGAACTTCAAAGCATCTGATGCAGATGAAGCGGGCATCATCATCTCGGTCGTAGCTAAACCCACTACAGACAAATTTACAACAGTAACAAAAAAAAAAAGGGATAATAATGGAGAGTTAGAATGGTTTTGTATCCCCAATATCTTGTCTTTCTTAATAACTCAGCACAAAACTTGTGGAGGGAATAATCACATTCAGTACAATAGTAAAATTCAATGGAGATAGCTGGTATGCAACCGTCACAACATATATCATCCTTAATCTCATCGCTAAGTATTAAGTTGTGCTCATGACTAAAGTGTTTAATTTCAGTAGCAATTACCTCCT